GCTGGAGCAAATGGGCTTTCCTCAGGCAAACCATGGCTGTCAGCAGCTCTGAGGAAAGGCTCACATACAGAAACAGCATCTCTAGTTACCCCAGCCCCTTTCTCTCCCTAAGGGCAAAGAGACAAACAACTTTTGTTCAAATTGTTGTCTCTCTAGCTGAATTCATTTTGACTATGTAATGGGTGCATCTGCAGCTGTATTAAGGTAGAAAGATACTGTGCTCTGACATGCAGCCTGCAGGAGCCTTCGGTTCCTACTGGACTCCATTTAGGAGCTAGGAGAAATGCAGAATATCCTGCTACACTGGCTTTAAGATCATGATGTCTCAGCCTCTCTTAGCAACCCCACTAGAGGAAAGGGTTAAGCCTTCTGACCTATCCTAGATGGAAAAGATCTTTGCCATTTATGCTGCATTGTTTTGTGGGATCAGATAAGGGAGGGGAGACAATGGCACCGCAGACAATGGCGATAACACTAACAGGCTCCCCAAGGCAAGAGGTAAAAAGAGGAACGGAAAAAGAGCAGTGGATGCAGAGGACCTCTGTGAATGGCAGAGTCTGGAGCAACCATGGATATGAAACCGTATCTGAGGTGCCCTCAATACTGAGGGTGACCTGAACTTGGGTGGAACTGCCCCTAGTCCCTGTCTTGCAGCCAGCTGAAGCTCAAAGCTGACTTGACACTTGTTTTTACTGCTGAGCTTGACTCTAGTAGCCGAGGAGCACGGGCAAGGATGCCCAGCACATGTTTGTGGGTCACAGTCGCAGGGATGGAGTTTGGACCAGCTCACGAGCCCTGCTGGGCTCAGCCCTTGTTAACATAATAGGGCAACAGGAAAATAAAGGTAGGAAAGCAAGGTTTAGAATACAGAGATCTCTACAGACTGCAGCAGGACCTACCAGAGCTGCAAAGTTACCTGTGCAGAAATACTCCTTACGTAGAGCTGCTCCATCAAGACATTGCTTTAGAAAAAGAGCTGCATTAATACAGCGCTTGTATTCCAGGACAGACCTTTTACCACTGTACAACGGAAAACATGAAGTAGCATCTGCATGCCATCTATCTAAATTGCAAGAAAGGTCAGAAACCGCCTAAATCACCCCACACTGCTCATTCGCCTCTCCGCTTCTGGAAGAGACCCAGAGCGTTCACCTACAGGCTGTTGCAAAGCTCCTGTCCCAGTCAGCCCTGCTGTCCCAAACAGTGCTGGCAGCACTGCTGGTACCACCTGCCGGTTACTTCCAAACGCCTTTTTTCTTTGGTTGAGACACTGCTCCAGTGCAGGTAGATTTAAAACAGTATTTAGAGCATCTAGAAGAACATTTGTACATTTATACTACAGGCAAAAATCCGTGCTGTCCACCATACTGAAAAGGCTGAATTATCTGAAAAAGGAATTAGCAAGATTGTTCTCATCATTTCATTTTCTAGGCTAGATACAACTCTGCCAATGGCAAACACATTCATCTCAAGGGAAGCTGGGTAAGGGCATCCTCACTTACAGCGAAAGTCACATACCACATCTCCCACCACGTGTAACTCATCAATTGTAGAGAGAATTGTAATAGAGAATTAATCTCTAGGTTGACTGCAAAGCCCAAACCATGTGGCAGCTCTTCCAGAAAAGTATCTTGGAGAGTAGCAATTCAGCATTTTCCGCTGCATGGCATCTGCTGCAGACTTTGTTAGACGTTCCTTTTGAATGCAGGTTTCCTACCAGCCATCTGCATTAGGACCCATTGTTTCTGACCCCTTTTCAAATGCATCTACTGCCCACAGCAGTAAGGGAGAACAGAGTACTCTGCCAACAAGCAGATGCTTTTGAGCCTTCAGATATGTAAAGATGGATGACAATGCCTTCAGATCGCTGGGTCCCCACCTCTTTTACCCTTTGAGTTACAGCCTGATCAAGCCTTACTTATAACGGTCTCAGATGCGATTTTGTGGGACTATTTAGGAAATACTGTCAATGGGTTTGAAATCAGGACTTGGCAGCCAGCACGCTCTAGGAGGCTGACTTCTCTTTTCCACCAAGTTTAGGCTTAACCCAGAGAAGTCCAAGAGTGACAAGCTGTCAGAATCCAGCCCTCCTTTTGAGCAAGAGGCTTCTTTTTTTGTATGCAGAAAATGATGCAACAGGGAGTTCCTTGTTGCACCCCTAATGATCCTAATGAGGCCTTAACATTCCCGGAGTTCTTGTGATCAAGCCTTACTTATAACGGTCTCAGATGCGATTTTGTGGGACTATTTAGGAAATACTGTCAATGGGTTTGAAATCAGGACTTGGCAGCCAGCACGCTCTAGGAGGCTGACTTCTCTTTTCCACCAAGTTTAGGCTTAACCCAGAGAAGTCCAAGAGTGACAAGCTGTCAGAATCCAGCCCTCCTTTTGAGCAAGAGGCTTCTTTTTTTGTATGCAGAAAATGATGCAACAGGGAGTTCCTTGTTGCACCCCTAATGATCCTAATGAGGCCTTAACATTCCCGGAGTTCTTGATCTCAAAAACCAAAACAAAAAAAAAACCAAACAAAAAAAACACTTTTGAATAGCACTCTGTTCATCTTGGGGCTCCTCAGTTTTCCTGCTGTCCTTCCACCTCCTCAGACTAATGAAGGCATGAGAGATAATGGCTCCTGTTTAAATTGTTGAGACTCCTCCGAAAGGCATGGGGTGGACCCACACGGCCTCTCATCAAAGGGCCAAGGTTTAAATGCCTAAATCGGATGGATCTCAGTGATAAGTTAGCAGCCTATATGGTAGGGAGGTACTAAAATACCTTAAATGGATCTGAGGTCACGTGTGGGGTTGTTTGTTTGTTTTAGGTAAAGTGCTTCTAATTTTTATGAGCATATTCCAACTGAGCGGGACTTAGCCACATCTATCTAAGACACTGAAATGGCAGCAGGAAGAACCACTTGAGTGTTTTCTGAGTGTCAGGCTATGGTGTGGCTTTTGCCAGCAGGCAGCATGCAGCTATCCCACTGCTTCTTTTCTGTCTTCCAGGAGAAATCCACTGAGCAGCACCCCTGCTGAGCTGCTGGAAGATTTTTCAAGGTCAGGCACATTTTACATCTCACACAGAATGTCAGAGTGGACTCACAAGGCCGATATTTCAGAAGGAAAATGCCGTGATTTTTTTGTATTTGTCAATAACTTTTCTTAGTAGGCTTGCTTCGATGTATTTCTTGAACCCGTTCCCTGAAGTTACATTGGTAAAGAACATACTGGGATAGTGTTTAGGGAAGCACAGAGCCTCCCTGCAGGAACTCACCTCTGCCACTCAATAGCCTTGCTGGAAGGGAGCAGAGGGTCAGTCACTTGTAAGCCTGATCTCCTGCTCCTTGTTTTGGCCAAATGTCCAGCTTTAACTGAGGCAGCACAGGGGGCTGAGGCATGAAATTAGAAAAACAGAAGAGATTCACATTTAATGCTAGAAGCAAAAAGCAGAGACATGATAGGCCTGAGTCTTACAGCTGAATTAAGGCAGGGGAGATGACTGTAAAGCATTGCCTCTGCAACATGAGGGCTATCCGAAGGCCTGCTTAGCCTTAAGAGTTAACAGCTGATCCCTGGCAATTGCTGGCAACTGTCCATGCCAAAGAACTGATCACTCCACTGGCAAGGTAGAACCACATGGCCTTAAGAGCGATAAGGGAGCTGGCAGTAGTAACTTGTTAATCCGCCACAGGAGAGTAGCTCCACAGGAGAGAGCATCTGCAGAGCCAGATGCACAGGGATTGCAGGGCTGAAGGTCAGGACAGCCCCAGTTTTCTATTTACCCCTTCAAGAACACAGGCCAGACATGCAAACTATGCGTGTTCCCAAACCTGGCCACTGAAGTTGAGGACAGGAATCAAGCAGATTTAAACAAAACACATACCGCATACTTCCTCCTCTCGCTTCACTGACTGCTTGAGTGCTTTTTTCGCTTTAGAGAGAAACCTCTATTGCCTTGCTCATACCTGATTTCTCTTTTGAATCATGAGCTCATTGTCCCATGTGGCTAGCGTTCCTCTTCCTCACCAGATCTCACAGTCACGAAAGCCTCTCTGCAATGAAAGCCTGTCCTCCTTTCTTCCGCACAAGCTTCTTGCTTCTATGATTTCCCCTTCCAACTGCTACACCATTGCAATTTCTGAGTTTGGACTAACACCCTCCTTTGCTCTGTTAGTGAAGAAATTCCATTGTTCTGGGCTGCAGCTAAATGCAGAGAAATTAGAGAAAAGTGATTTTCTCTGTATTTCAGCCATTTCTTTTCTAAAGTGTTTTCAAAAGTTTTAAGATAATAAATCCCCTGTGTCCCAGAGCTGGAATGTCAGCCCACCCCATCAACTTCCTTTGGGATCTGATGTTCACACATACCAAAGTTTCCAATATCACGCACCCAGCAGAGCTGAACAGACACCTCAGACCAGCATGGTGAGTTGAAACCAGACTCCTGAACCAAACATGCTCCTGCTTTCAGTCAGAAGCAGCCCAATCAGTGCTGCACATGCAGGTTAAAAGTGTCTTCAAGCTTAAACCTACGGCAGCTTTCCTTTACGCTATCATACGGAGAGAAGGCCAAGCAGCACCTAAAAAAGAGTTCCTAGCAAAATAGACAGGACTCACGATAGCTGACAGGTATTCCAGGGAGGTCTTCATATTTCTTCTGCCCAGATAAAAGGAGACCAAATGAATCTCAGTCCACGAAGAGCTATTCTGCATCAAATCATTATGCCAAGTGGAACGTGGCTGCGTTTTGAAAAGATGCTAGGTATGCTTTCGGTCTCAGGCACTTTACCATATTTCACCACAGTAATCATCTTTTCCACTCATTTTGCATAAGAGAAACCAGATTCCTCTGCTAGTGGAGGCCTCAATTACTGAATTTTAGAGCTACTCTAACTGACTATAATACTGCAATCACAGTGCTCTATTAATTTGCTAACGTAGTTCAATAGAAACAACTCGCTTCACAGCTCAACGTAAAATTTAAATTTAATGTTAGCCATCCAAAAAGCTTGAAGAACCTCTCTGTACTATCAGTTACTGTGATCTTTCAGGAAAAAGTACTCAGAGGACAAAATTGTTCACTATAGTTAGAATTCATTGTAAAAATTCATTGTCCAGTCAGGCACTGCAGGTTTGGCGAGAATAGGCTATTTTTCCATATCACAGGTATCACATCCAAGCATAAATAGGGAGCAATTCCAGCTAATTCACACCAAACTGGGAAGGACTTTAAGCAGCAGTGGATTTTAAGGGCAAGTAAGGCAAGGCAACGGTTAGGTGTGCGCTACCCTCTAGTGTGCGTCGACAGCGGCGCACAGTTGCTGCACGCTCTCCTCTGCATCTCAGCTGACACCATTAACACAAAGGGCTACACAGGCGGGCACTGTGAAAGGGGGAAAAAGAAAAAAAAGAATTCCCTGCTACGGTCCAAATGAACTTCACCTGCTGGTTTTGTCACAGGACAGTACAATCTGATAAAAGAGCATTCAGAGCAGAAGAAAAGAGTGAGCCCCCTGCAACTCTAGAGAAGTACCCAGAGATGTCTGAAGTCCAGATCAGGTGAAAAACAAGCATCCTGCCCACAGCTGGAGCCTGCTTTAGGCTATGCAGAGGTTAACCCATAAAGCAGAAGTCCACATAATTTCTGCCACTGGGGTGAAATCATTCTCCTTTCAGTCTGTGTAAAAAGGACAGAAACCGATCATTTTAAATTTAAATGGAAATAGACCGACTTAAAAAAACACATTGTTTTCTGAAAACTCTGTGTCTGCTCTAACTTATCACTCCACCATTTTACAAGAAGCTAGGCCAAGAGAGCACCGAGTGTGGCAGCACTCCCATTTTCCACTGCCTACAGATTTCCTCTCTTCAGCTGAAGCAACCGCCAGCACAACCAGCCCATGCAACAGCCACTTCGTGTTCTTGAATTCAATTTCTTTGTGCCATCGTTGTGAATCTAAAAACCTGGAAAAATTAACACCAGCATGTCTCTCAGGACTGTAGATACAGGCTGAAACCCAGAGGTCTTCCTACCTGGCGGATAGTAAATCATGCATGGATTAAGCCTGGATTAAAAGAAGGTCAGCCTGCAGCATAAGGAAAACCTTTTGTGACAGAAAGGATCCCTGACACAAGGTTGAAATAACCTCAGAGTCTGAGCAAAACATGGGCTTGAATAGCTCCATTGCAAAAGGTTCACCAGTAGTGTGTGATGTTAGTTTGCGTAAATTACCATGGCAGTTTTAACAGTTAGAAAAACAAAACAAAACTCTGCAAGAGAAAGACATGACAGTTAAACCCAGTTCCTGTTTCCAAGGAGTTCAATGACAGAGCTGCACAGAGCCCGCCAAAGGCAATACTGACCCCAGGAGCTAGAATGGGGATGAGGCACACCACAGCACTGCTGAACAGGGGACTGAGACCTAGACTCAGGCAGAAACTCAGCCTTTCTTCATTTCTCCCAAAGGACAGAATGCACCAGTCACTGCATAAATGGAGAAATAAGGCACTGAGGTGATGAAGACAGATGATACTCACTTTCCTTATGAAGCACTTGAGCTCTCAGAAAGAAGAAAACCATGCAAAAAGGAAGTTAGCAGCATCTGGAAAGGATTTCCACCTCTACTTAACTAGCTTCTGTTTCTTTTTGACACAGCTTCAGGACTGGAGAGTCTCGTCAACATGACTGGGCACTGGGAGTACTCACATCCCAAGAAATAGGGAGCGATGAAAATAAAAATATGCTTTATAAGATCAGGACAACCTTTCCTGGGAAGATTACGAAGCACATCCTGGAAGCCACATCCAAAACACAAAGGACAAGAAAGTGACTGGGCACAGCCAGCATGGACAGGCAAGTTCCAAGGGCCATTTGTGCCTGACATGTCTGATAAGCTCCTGCAATGAGATGCCTGGCTTGGTGGATGAGGGGAGAGCAGTGGATATTGTTTACACCGACTTTAAATGCAGCTGCCTGAAGAATCCATATAGCCAAATTGTTGAACTACAGTTTGGATAAGTGCATAGAAAACTGGCAGGACCACCTGGCTCAAAGGGTTGTGATTAATAGGAGAGTCCAACTGACAGCTAGTCACTAGGGGCATTCCTCAGGCGTCAGTTTGGGGCTAATATTACTTAATGCCTCTATTAACAATCTGAAGACAGAACACATCCTCAGCAAGTTTGCAGGTGATACCAAACCCTGGGAGTGGTTGATACAGTGGAGGGCAGGGCTGCTATTCAGAGAGACCTCAACAGGCTGGAGAAATGGGCTGACAAAATCTTCATAAAGCTCAAAGGCAAATGCAGAGTTCTGCCCTTGAGCGACCTAATGTAGTTTGGCCCTGCTCTGAGGCAAGGGTTGGACTAGAGACTTTCAGAGAGGTCTTCTAACCTAAATTATTCTGTGATTGAAATGTAGACAGCTTCCTGGTTATAGAGGATTGGACAGATGTTCTTTCCAGGTTCATCACATCTGCAGAAGTCGACGCAAGTCCCCTGTAAACTCACGTTACTTACTCTCCTCTCCTGCCCATCTTCCTTGCACGCTCTGCCTGAGGCTTACGCTGAGACAGCAGAAAAAAAACTAACTGTAACATTACAGAGAGCAATACAGATGAGACAAGAAGAACAGGCTGTTTTTTCAAAGACAGAATTTCATTCTGCCTACACTCAAGCCCTATTGCCATTAGGGAACGTGTTAGCTTTTATTTTCTTCAGTGGCTCCAAGATTAATTTCAAGCTACTTCTTTGGGGAAAAGTGGAGAAAAAGGAAGGTGAGAGAATGATTCAGTTTCTGACCTTCTTCATAAAAGGTCCTTCTTCTCAGCCTAGCTGAGAAGATGGCTGCTCAGTGCTTCTTGGTCTAGTGACAGCTGTTGGTGCATTTGAATTTAAAGCAGCACATTTTACCACGTACCAAAAGCGCTAGAACATGAAATAGGAAATTACAGCAGTGGAGGTAACCTTCTCTGACATACCGTTCTGCTAAGCCTCTCTAAAGACTCAGAGAAGCAAACTAACAGCCAGGGGAAAACTATGCTTACCTGAACTATCTGCTCATTCAAAATGGAGGTCAGCACTCGTTTATCAGTTCATAAAATTGTGTTTAAAAATACAAGATACCAAGCTTAAAAATACACCTTTTCTTTTTGGGGAAAAAAAAAAAAGTACAGTCAGATTTAAGTGGATCTACAAGAAAAACACTCAGCTATCTTTAAGTAAACCTTTGCAACGCGCTGCATACAGAGTTTTCTAACCAGTCAGAGCCAGTGGGTAGGGCAATCTGCAGTGTTTCCTGAAAGAGCTTCAGTGGCTTTTTCTAGTTTTCACCCTGTAGGCAGAGACACTTGACAAGGCAGCACAATGCCTTCATACTGCAGGGCACTAGGTTAGTTCTTCTCCTCTCTCTCTTGCACTGCAGCCAGAGCTCAGCGTGAGGCTGGTGTGGGCACAGCAGGCAAGGGCAGTTCCATGGAGGGAGTCTCAGTCACTTCAGCTGGACTAGGCTTGCGAAGCTCCAGTTTTTCCGTGAGTTGGTTATAAAGCTCCTTCACGGCTTCTCCACTCTGTAGAATGAGAATCAGGGAGGGGAGAAACAGAAAAGACATACTTCATTCTAGCGAGAGCGCTAGATATGCGATTACCGCAAATGTTTTAGCACAAACCAGCGTACAAAGAGGAAGTTACAAGGTAATTAAGACATAACTCGGAATACTTGGAAAGCTGCTATCTGAGCAGAGCACACGTTCCATTAAGTCATGTCTGGGAAGGCAGCTGCTTCATTTGCCATTAGTTTTCCCTTTCTCATGCTTCTCTTCTTACCTGCTTGGTGGGTTCCAAAGCCTTCTGGAGAGATTCTAACTTGGCAGGAGCCACTTTGTGATGGAGATGAAGCAGCAGTCTTAGGACATGTCTATGTACATTCTCCTTCCTGCAAAGGGCAATTTTAAAGCAGAATAACTGATATAAACAAATATAGTCTTACTTGAGAAAGGGAAAGCTACCCCAATAGTATCATAAGGATACCTTACACACCCAGAGACAGAGAGCTTTTTTATAATTTGCCAAAACACCTCAGAATTACCTGCATGCTACAAAATGCTAAGCCTGCCTTAGACTTCCAAGCAATTCATATAATCATTCAACAGGAGTGGACTAACTATAGCAGCTACGAGAAGGGAAGGAGAGATTTTAAGCACAGACCATAGCACGTGGCAGTAGCTGGTCTCTCTGTTGGCCAGGCCATATGCATATACAGGAGAATGTTTGCTCCTCGGTACCTGTGGAGGAAGCGGTAGCAGCAGCAGGTGCTGCTATGCCTGAACAGCAGTTCAGTCACTTTTGGGGAAGCATTCTGGAGGTTAGATTTACTCTGAAGGCCACCAGTTGAACCACATTGACTTAACAGAATTAACAGATAAAAACAAGTTTTCTGTGTTCAGCTGATACTGCAAACAGCTGACGCTAACTCTTCATATTCACAGCTACTGCAAACCATGAAGCATATTGTCTTTTGCAACTCCAGTTTGCAAACAAGGAATTACAGTTTAGATTATGATCTATAATCAACACTTAATTTTGCAGTTAGTATCAGGCTAGTATTTCAACTATATGCTGAAAGATCAAAGAAGCACAACCTCTCTCTCAGCTGTCTTATAAACTCACTTCCGTTGAGGAAGATCAAATTTACCTTGAGCAGGCAGTGAGAAAGAAGCCATCAAAGAGACTGGTGCAGAACTCCTCAAGTGCAAATTCATCACCCAGCAGCGTGAGATTACCAGTGAGCAGATGAAGAAAAACATCACTGAAGGCCAAGTCACTGAACGTCTCAACTATACAACACAAAAGGAAAAAGACTGAGACTGGCAAGAACGTGCCAGACCCCGATTACACAGCAGCAGACGTTCCTGCCAAAAACTTTGCAGTGAAATTTCCTTCTCCGGCTTTTGCAAGAGGTAACTCGCGCAGGTGGCTATGATTTTCCAGACGTAAAACATAAGGAGCAGAGTGGGTGAGAAGAGTTTGTGGAAAACCCATGTCTCCACCAAGACTGAAGTCTCACACAATAGCTTGCTGCTGCCAAAAATCAAAGCCCCCTATTAACCTTTTCCACAGTCCTCTGCTCATGGCCACGTCCACCTCCTTGTGCTCCTCAAACCCCATGGTGAGCAGATGCAAATCACTTCCCTGGTGGAAAACGCATGAGCACAAACGAGCTCAGCAAAAGGTCAAAAGAACAGCAGAGCTGGGGCAAGGCAGGGAGCGGGGAAGTCAACCCACCCATTACTGGCAGCAGCAATTCCTAAGATTAGCTCAGAGCTCTTATGAAACTCAACCTACAGAAGTCAGTGAAGAAGGTAGCCCCAGGGGGTAGTTTAGGGCTGTATTTGGTCTTGTTTTGTTACAGGTTTTTTCATCACAGTGCCAAGTCCCAAGAATTTCAGACCACATGCAACTACTGTGAGCTGCGGAAGAATTAAGCCACCTGCTGTTTTATCTCTCAGCTTCACTCCAAATAGCTCTCAGCTAATCCCATTGTTAATATAGTCTGTGATATAAAGAATTACTGTCCTTCAGTCAATACGCATAAACTCTTGGATTGGCAGAAAAATCCCAGTCACAGACAGAAATAGGCACGCTCTTCTACAGTTCTTACAACTAAGTTACCAGAAGAGCCAAAACCAAAATGTAACGTCTTTGACTCTAAAAATCACATTCACTTCAGGTTCCTATTTGCCTCTTTCTAGCTCTCCAATATAAGGCAAACAGCTATAGAAAAGACGACAAGAACAAAACTCACCTAGTGCTGGCAGAAGCCTAAGGAAAGCATTCTTGTTCCGCTGTTTAGTGATATGAAGGATGTAATATAGCCCAATCTCACAAGCTATTCTGTTCTCCTGCAAGAATCTGTTATGGCCCAAAAAAGGTTCTTAATCAATAAAGCAAGTAAAGATTTCCCCTCCCCCCCCCAAAAAAAAAAAACCTCAGACAGTTTAAAAGCCATCGCTGGATAGGAATCAAGCGGTTACAGCAATAGCTACCTCAAACCTGATGAGAAAAAAAAACAAAACAAAACCCAAAAAGCAAACATCACTCTGTCTCACAATCAAACAATCAGATTTGATTGTGAGCACTGAAGATTAATACTAATGACAACAACACTCACTCAAAATGAGATTTAGAAGAGGCCCAAAGACTCAAACATGATACAAAGTCCAATTTTGTTTCTGTTTTAAAATTTCCCAAAGGTCAAATACCAATGCTGCAACAAAACAGCTTTAAGTACAGCTCTACTGGGATACAATATTCTGGATTCTGACATACAGATAAGAAATCAGCTGGAAATTAGTGCAAGAGCTGAATACGACTGAGCACACAGAGGATGTTTATTTATCCTTTTGAATGACACGTTATCAACAGAGAATGAGCCTCTGTGATAAAATGCAAATCCTACAATCTACGCTAGCATTCATCAGATGGCAAGCACGGGCAGTCTGTCCAGCTGCACCCAAGTTAAACAATTTCACCGAAACATTCATCATGCACTGCCGGGGAAGCTAAATAAGCAGCATATCTTAAAGCAGTAGAACCAAATCCTTTCATATACACCAGCAGAAACAGTCATATCAAGAAACATTATTATTTTATGTAAATAAATTTTATTTGAGGAATCATGCTGGAAACTGTTCTGCTAATGGATAATTTCAACCTTGATTAGTTAGAGCTAAATCACACCCCAAGAAAGTCTTCATTTTACCACACACACTTGTTTCCTGTCAGCGTCGGTTGGCTCTTTGATGTTTTGCTTTGGTAACATGACTAAGATGTACAAAACTGGTAAGGCAGATTACGCACTTGGTGAAAGCTTCAGGGATCGTGCTGGGGTAGGGAATTGGCCCCTTCTCTTCTGAGGGCAGTTTCTGATCTACATTGAACGTGTGGTCGTCCACCACGAAAGACATCAGCATAGGTAAGAACTTGGTGATCAACTCAGCTTCCTTAGAAGGAGGGAAGAACAGAGGGGGGGAAAAATAATATTTGCATCAATCAGTTCACGCCATCTAAAAGTCGCAGAGCATTGCAACAAACATTGAGTCAATATTATGAACCCTATTCTACACTTGGAAAAACAACCTTTCAGACAGCAAGTTCCTTTCAAACTGCCTGATAAATTCACTCTCACACGCTCCAGTGGTAATTAGGAAAACTGCACATCACCTCATCTACAGAGGTATTCCTGCTCAAATTCTTTGATTTGACAATTGCATAACACGTATTTCTTCTGAGACATCTTTTCCAGTACTTCTGCAAGCACAGTATACTAAGGAAGGTACCAAACTGCTTTTATTAACAATCGTAAATTCTTCTGTTCGTTCCCTAAACTGACAGGGACCGACAAACAGCTGGAGTAGAACAAGAAAGTTTGCGTGCATCTCCTCTCCACACACGCTGGCTCTGCGTGAGGCAGATCAACCTCTGTTGTAGCACAATCACAGAATGGGAGGCTACTGCTTGTGAAATCACAAATAGAACAGATTTTAAACACAGATGTGATTTCCTTTACAAGAAAGCTCCAAAATTTCTTTCCAAAAAGATTCATGAGAACACTTCCAATGAGCTGCAAGATAACCCGAGTGCTACTCCTGGAGTGTTAGTCAACCTTACCGTTACAATCCGAGTATTAACGTACACTGCTCCCACGGTAAACTTAAACGTGCAATCAGCCAGTAACATACATCTTGTGGACTTCAACTGTCCCCTGAAGTAGGCATTTGATGCTTTACAGTACAGAACAGAAACTTCTCTTGAGAAACTGTCCTACTCTGCAACATTGTGGTTAGCCTTCCTGCTGTCACCTGAATATATCTGCTCCCAGAACTCACTAGGGCTGCCTTCAACATCGGCCAAAGGAACAGCACAGAAAAACAGTCATTCAGGAATTTGAAATACTGCCTACCAGCAGCTGAACGTGACGCTTACATAAATTCATTGTCAGAGATCGGGAAGGCAAAAATATTTTTCCAGTCAATGAAAAGGTGCTACATTGCTACCAAAGCTTCACAGCAGCCTCTGAAATCCTGCTTTCTCATACAAAATCTGCTTTGCAAACCTGTCATTTGGGTAGAACGTCCCAGGAATAATGAGCAACCAGTGCAAATTTTAACCGAATGAGAGATCGTATAAAAACAGCGAGGGCCAAACATTCATGGAAAGGAAAAAGCATGTAAGCAATGTTTACAGCAGGTCCATTTGACCTGCTGCTCTGAATATTTGCATATTTTTTCCAAGAAAGCTATGATGAGAGAAATGCAGAAAGCTGACTTGACGATTGAACCAGGGAAACATAATACAAAGAAAATAGGAAACAAATCTAAAGAAGCCTCACCATTTTTGGTTCCTTGAAGACTTGGCTGTCAATCATGTCCCAGGCCCCCTGTCCTAGAGACAGCATCCTAAGGAGCAGCAGCAGATCTGGGCTTTCCTGTAGCTGCTATATATAGGATACCATGCACTATAAAAGTGAGGTTTCCTAAAACTTTTTACAAACTTATAGCTGGCATAAGAAATAGAGAGAGAATAGAGTGAGAAAGGCTACCCGCATTTCCTGTAGTAAATGAGCCGAATTTTAAGAGGAAGAAAAAAAAAAAAAAAGCTTATTTTCATCTTCTACAAGTTGCATGTATGGACATGTATTCAGAAGTAGTGGTTTAGCTTCAAAGCCCCCCTGGATTACCTGCTCTGTGAAAGACAGCTAGAGGAAATCAGTTCTCTGATTTAATTGACAACTGATTGCTCAAAGCAATTCATATAGCTACAGGCACAACCAGACACACCTGAGGTTTTTTTCCCCGTAACATTTTATAACGTGCCGAGAGGTATACAGCCAATCTGATCATGACACTGTTTTTAAAGGTGTCCAGCCAAATTAGCATACTGAAATACAATGGGTGACAGGATGAATCACGGCATCTCAGCAGAAGCAAGTAACAGAAAGAGTGCCTGAGAATGATAATGGTTTATCACTTACATTGTGCCCTGAAACCAAAAACAATTTTCAGTCTTAAACTCTCATCAATAAACTATTTAATCCAACAATGAAATTTATAAACCTCAGGGATGAAAAGCAGCAAATGCCTCACACTGTTCAGGCTCCTGTAAGGCTCCCCTCCTCTAATTTTTAAGTACCTCCTGCAGGTACTACTTGCAGGAACTGTACCATACCACAGTCAACAGACCAGAACAGCATAAATTGACCCATCACATTTACCATGGCACGGAAGAAGCAATGCCGCTGTAAGGCAAACTGCTGGAAGGATAAAGCAGGGAGATGCATATAGGCATAACTGTTAGGACAGAACGAGCCAGGCAAAGAAGTCACTGTCAACTTGGAAAGCGCCAAAATGCCTGTTTCCAAAGAGAACACTTGCAGAGCTCTCAGGTAAGTGCTACGAATGGAAAGGCAGTATTACAGCTCCCCTATTTCAGTTTACACATGCATTTGAAAGCTTAGCTGTACTACCTCCACTGGGCCAGTCTCTGGCTTTGCTGATGAATGCCATTCAATTCAGACTCTAGCAGTATCACATTAGACACACAGGCTGCCCATACTCACCCTGGGTAAGGTGTCCTGCCCAACCAGGTCTTGTAGGTGCCTTATGGTACTCAAGGCTAAGGTGTTAATGGCAAAGGGATCACATAAAATCATGGATAAGTCTCTAAAAAGAAGCAAAAATCAAACATACGGTCACACATAGCAACCAACCTTACAATCCAGTTCCACATCCAGCTGTAGGACACCAGCTTCTAGAGAAAATGTTTACATTGGCATGAGAACTGTGAGCCTGTCAAGTATCAGATGAAATATCAAGCAGTGTATGTTTTATATTTTTATAACTATATATATATTGGGGGGAGGGAAGAAAGACAGAGAGAAAAAACACACTGTTGTGTTAAAGAAGGGAGGCAGACACAGGGTAAACATGGTAGCAATAACCTCACTATAATAATGCAAAAACATGAATTTCTATCAACCTGATGATCCTTCTCTGGCCTTGAAAAAACACCATGAATATTATTTCTTTTGCGTGAAAGAGGAAGCTTTCTGAAAACAACTACTAAAGGTCTTTTGCACTGAAATGAAACAGGAGAGCTCACACAGTCAGTTGCCAGGCCACGAGGGAGACTGTAACAATCACTCAAGGGTGGTAACTTAAGCAGTACAAACTACATCACCTGAACGTGCCTAATGCAGTAATGCTGATGGATGTACTGAATCGGACCACGTGGAAGAAGAACTGGCTGTTAGCTCGCTTTAGGGAAGAACTAACACCTAAAATGCCCACCAGAACTTCAGATGTTGTTGCTACAGGGAACCCCTTTTAATTTCTCAATAAACAGCCTAGAATGGCTTACCCCAGCACTTGTTCCTGTCCTTTCTTCACTCCGTCAAGAAACCCTTGCAATTCCCTAGCTCTCTTGTTGTCCACAAACTTCTCCCGAATGCAGGCATCAAGGCACCAGGTGAACTGTTACCAAAAAAAAAAAAAACAAACCAGAAAGCTTTACAATAACCACAGAAACTCATCTAAACTGGCATAAAATGCATGATGTCACAGGAAACAGGCTCAGAAAGACCTTCACCCTCTAGAATTAATACACTTTATTAGTATGCTAATGTATGGCAGCAAGCTGATCACAAATACAGAGGAGGTCAGAAATACAAGCCTCCCAGAAGAAAAATCAGAGATAGAGATGCAAGTTCAATTGGTATCACTTTCTCTCCCCTCCCAACACAGGCATTCCCTGGCAATTAAGGAACAGGCATGTAAAAAATATACGACTGCCCTGTACACCTGATCAGTGTGGAGTCACACAAGGATGAGGCTCATACATTGTTTCATTACCAAAACGGAAAAACACAGTTGACTGAAATGTTTTATTTGAACTAAAATTAAGTGTTGTCCCTTAAAGGAAACAACATACACGTTTCCCCAACATTTCAGCTGTCATTTTAAAAAGAAAAACAAACACCAAAAACAGACAAACAAAATATTGCTGAGTTTCCTGAAATGCTTTCATCATGGCATACTTTCCTCACACCAGTCACTGCATTTTGCGGTGGAAAAAGTGAGGTCACTAAAAACGATCCACAAATTGAACAAGAACTGCCCTCTTCTAGGCAGTCAGTGTGTGTACCCTGGTTTTGAGACTCTTGACCAGAAGAGGTTAGAGAGCATGCAAGAACATTTATCATCATCACTTTAGAATCTATTCTCTATAAGCAGAATACACATAACACTTAGCAAAATTACTTAGACAAAAAGCCTTCTTGTAGATCAGAATGACACTGACCATGGACAAAGGACCAGAAACAAGATCCTGATGTGAAATTAACTCCTTGTCCCCCCCTCCCCCCCAAGTATTTTAATTTTTTAACGTTTCTTATAATTCAAGATCGGAAGTATTTAATCAGTTACACACCAAGTCTATTGACAGATGGAGTATATCACACTAGGCAAAACAGGGAGGGAAGTAAGCTTTGATTAAGAACCTGGGGCTAGCTAACGTTCTCGATTATTTTTGCAGCACCTACATAGGTCAGATTAGACACTGTTTTAAACACTGCACACGTACCATAAATTCGAATGATGTATGGGTTATTAAATGAAAGCAAGCTGCTGGTTAACCAAGATGAAATTTTCACCTGAAGTTCCAAGGAATATAAGATGACTTTTGGATTCAAGGTCTGAACTCTCTTCACAGAGAGGAGTCATCTTCTCTGGGCTGAAGACCTGCAGGGCAGCAGGTGTGCACAGGAGCGGGCGAAACAGAAAATTCTCCAGTAATATTCCTATCTGTGCCACATGTTTAATACCTTATGACATGGGTCAACGGTGCAGATTTCACTGATGTCCAGGTCATGCAGCGACATCAAGAGCTCTGCCCGTAGCGTGCAGTAATGAACATTCCTTGTCCGAAGGAACAAAGTTCTCAGAAACTGTAACACCATATCATAGAGCTTCACGTTCTTCCCAATCATCTGGGTCAGCTTCTGAACCACCTGAACTCAAAGTGGAAAAACATGCACTCAGTACCAAGAGACACTGCTACTTCACAAAAAAACTTGAAGTTAATTCTTCTACGGGATTTATCGAGTTTGAAACATCCACACTGAAATGAGTTTCTTAAAAGGATATTTTGCACCAGAATTTCCGAGAGCATTTGTTCAAGAGATGTTCACCAGATATTTCACAGCTATCATGAGAGAACAGATTTTTAAAAATGGCTCCCTTTACAACTGCTTCCATCTCTTTTACTAAAGTGCTCAGTCATGTAAAAGGGTAAGCAGCAATACTTATTATTGAATAATAAAATTTACAATTATTATAGCATGGAAAGAAATTCATTTTTCATGGGAAGGCTTTTTGTAGTTCTATCTACCTTTAGATGATGATCGTGAGAATGAAGGTGCAATCTGCAAGCGTAAAAAAAAACTCAAGCAATTGCACCAGTGCACTTACATTAAAAGCAGGCTTTTGAAAGCGAATCAGATCCAGCCCAAATCCCTCAAATAACAGATGCGCTACCTTCTCTGAAATTACAGCTTTATGCTGTCTTATCCTGTGATTCCTTAGTACCCTCAATAGCAAGGTCCTTACAGAAACTCTGGCATTTCCCTTTTGGGGCAAAAGCCCTCTGAGGTAACGTGACATATTATAGCTGAGCCAATCTAATAGTCTGCTATTGCCAGAAAGGGGAAGAGACCCACTCCTCCTAACACCTGTGACACTGTTCCCTCCCACCTCAAGCCCACCTGTGTGATCCAGCCCACCTCCGTGCAACAGCTTTGGTGCTTGCTGATCTCTTCTTTGAGCAGGTCCAGCTCACTAACTTGGAAAAACACTTGCTGTTCTTATTTGCTAAAGTTTCTGTGGCATTTATTGAGCTGAACCAGTTCACGGAAGGGTCTTATAATCACCAGAGCTGCAAGTAGGGAGGGGAGGAGCAGGACCTGCCCTTCCCGTGTCGGAAGGGAGTATTGGATCAGCTCAGCCACCTCATGTAATTCCATCCATCTTTTCTGAAGGCCATCTTAGCTACAACTTTTGTAAAAACGGAAAGGAACACTGAAAAAAATGCTTTGTTGGGCTATGTCCCGCTAAATAAAAAAAAGAAAGAAATTTAAAATATCCAAACTGATTTAATAGAGATGTTCGGTCTTCAGAATAGCCGAGGGGTATTAAAGCCAGACTGAGTGATAAAGGCAAACATTTTGTCTAGCTATTTTTTTGAAGTACATAAACAGCTTAGAACATTGACCAATTATCATACAGTGCAGCATAACTATTAAAATAATTCCTGCTACTTTGATCAAGACATGTAGGAAAAAAAAATGAACTGGCGTTTCTTGCAAATACTTTGCCTATTCCACTACCTGAAGTTAGCAGCAAAGTTGAAGAGGTGAAATGGACTCCTGAATATTTGATGAAGTTGACAAAAAGCTAACAAATTCCATTTGCAAGCAGTTTGTAAGAGGCTTCCTTGTTCTTACCTCTCCCTGACGTCTTGTTTTGGGAGATGGGCTGAAGAAGTTGTGCAAGACAGAAATATCGTTGCTGAAGAGAATATTCTCTTTCTCCAGGATGTATTGCTTCAGCAGTGGAGATACTTCATCACCAAACAGGGCTTGGTTATCCTGCCAGATCTGGCGCTTTACCTCCACAGCACATGCTTTATACAAATCCTTATCTGCCATTACTAACTTCAGCTTCTTTTCAGGGACCTACAATCAATAGAGCAGGTACCAAAGCGTAGAGCAGCTGAGCTGCCTGACTGTCCAAGCAACAGGTAACTGACTACAGAGGACATCTAAATCACAGTCTGAGACAGTCTCATAATTTACACAACATAACTCAATAAAAGTAACTATCACAGATTCATCTTTTGCCTACCTTTATCCTGTAACAGTAAGCCAGCCCTAAGACACTTAGTTTCCTTAGTTTCTTATACAACCGGATAACACACCAAGTTTCTCCTCTTTTTTTCTTCCCCCCTCCCCCCCCCCCCAAAGGGGAAAAAAGGCTTGATTTAAAACCCAGAAACTAAGTTTTAAGGTGATGATTAAAAACTCAGTAGCTTTAAAAGTTTTAGTAGCAGTTTTGAATTCATTGCCTTAAATACAACATGATGCTTTTAACAAGGCTGCTCCTTCCAGGAGTCTTGTTTCACAGGCCTTTATCTCACTCCTGTCTACTTCTAGTTGCATTCTTCAACTCTTATGTTCCATTTGCCGTAAATAAGTATTTAAGTCAGCTATGGAAAAATTCCTCCATCACTGAACTTGACCACTTTTAAAAAGCTCCGTGTACGGAATAAAAAAGAGAAACAGTCTTCTCCAGTTATGAAAACGTTAAATGCTTTTTGAATTGGTCTATGAAATTGCTAACAGATACAAGAATGAAATAAATCTTTACTCATTTCCTAACGGTGAATGACAAACTTATAGAACGTCTGCAGATGCAGCCCAGCCAAGAGCACAGCTAAGGGAGAACAGGCCAACTGCAGGACTGTTTTTACCTTGGGCAAATGCTTCATGACACACATTACAACAGGCTGTATAGAAGGCATCTTGACCAGGGAAAAGCTCTTCTCTAGGAGATCTTCCAGCTTCTTGTATCTGGAAATGAGAACGTTTAAAGAGACTCTAAGTAACATTGAACAGGAAAGGACCAAAGTGACTCATCTCAAAGCCTCCGCAGCTCGTGCTCCCAGGAACCTAACTCTCCTTTAGCAGACACGTGCCTGCGGTAAGTGATTTTAAATGACATTTCTACCTCAGCCCGAAGAGCCACGCAGACCGCTGACACACCTTTCCTCGACTTTCCCTTCCAAAGCAATGGCCGAGACTCTCTCCAGCAGTTTCTCCCTGAGCTCGTCGAACACGGACTGGTGAAACTCGAGCCTGGGGGTGCCGTGCAGGTCCAGGAAGGGCAGGGCCGACTGCAGGGAAGGCAGGAGGACTCCATTTTCCGTCTGCCAACACAAACACCGGACAGGGACAGAGCGCTCGGTTAGCTCGCTCCGCTGGCCGCGAGCGGCAGCGCGAAGTGCTAAAGCTGTGCTGGTTACGGAAAAAAAGAAGAAGAAAAAAAGAAAAGAAAAGAAAACGAGGAACGCCCTTCAGGCCTTCTCGGGCCCCTCTCCCACCACGCAGCCCGCCCGGTGCCCCCCGGCCGTCTCCACGCCGCCCCCGCCCCACCTGGAACTGCTCGATGG